TTTCCTCTGATATCTGTTCCTCCTGGCTTTTGTTTTCTGCTTCCTCTCTGCTATCTTGTTCATCCTCCCCACTTATGTAATGGTCGTAAAATTCTTGTGCTTTTTCCAAAGAGTCTGTACAAAATTTCTTTTCTTGCCAATTATTAGCATCCCCTTGGGGATAAACCATCTAAACATGACTTTGTATTTTAGCAAAATACAAAGCCAGAAGTCCCCCTCTTTCTCTTTCTCCCTTGCCTTTCGCTTCCCTTCTTTCCTCAGCTATTTGTAAGGCTTCCTCAGACAGCCATTTTGCTTTCTTGCATTTCTTTTTCTTTGGGATGGTTTTAATTGCTACCTCTTGTATAATGTTGCAAACCTCCGTCCATAGTTCTTCAGGCACTCTGTCTATCAGATTTAATTCCTTAAATCTATTTGTCACCTCTACCGTATATTCATCAGGGATATGATTTAGTTCATACCTGAGTGGCCTAGTGCTTTTTCCTACTTTCTTCAATTTAAGTCTAAATTTTGCAGCGAGAAGCTCATGATCTGAGCCACAGTCAGCTCCTGGTCTTGTTTTTACTGACTGTATAGAGCTTCTCCATCTTTGGCTGCAGAGCACATAGTCAATCTGATTTCTGTGTTGATCATCTGGTGATGTCCATGTGTAGAGATATGTATTGAGCTGTTGGAAAATGGTTTGCTATGACCATTGTATTCTCGACAAAATTCTACCAGTTTCTGCCCTACCTCATTTTGTACTCCAAGGCCAAACTTGCCTATTATTCTGGTTATCTTTTGACTTCCTACTTTAGCATTCCAATCCCCCATGATGATAAGGACATCATTTTTTGGTGTTAATTCTAGAAGGTGTTGTAACGCTCCATAGAACCAGTCAACTTCATCCTCTTCAGCACCAGTGGTTGGGGTATAGACCTGGAGTACTGTGATGTTGAATGGTTTGCCTTGGATTCGAACTGAGATCATTCTGTCATTTTCGGGATTGTATCCCAGTACTGCTTTTCCTATTTTTATTGACTATGCCAGCTACTCCATTTCTTCTGATAGATTCTTGCCTGCAGTAGTATGTCTGATGGTCATCTGAATTAAATTCACCCATTTCTGTCCATTTTAGTTCGCTGATTCCTAAGATGTGGATGTTCAATCTTGTCATCTCTTGTTTGACCACGTCCAGCTTGCCTTGATTCATGGATCTTAATTCCAGGTTCCTATGAAGTATAGATCTTTACACATCACACTTTCCTTTCACCACCAGATACATCCACAGCTGAGCGTCCTTTCAGTTTTGGCCCAGTCGCTTCACTCTTTCTGGTGCTACTAGTACTAGCCCTTTACTCTTCCCCAGTAGCATATTGGACACCTTCCGACCTGAGGGGCTCATCTTCCAGCATTATATCTTTTTGCCTTTTGGTACTGTCCATGGGGTTTTCATGGCAAAGATACTGGAGTGAGTTGCCATTTCCTTCTCCAGGGGATCACGTTTTGTCACAGCTCTCTGCTATGGTCTATGGTCTTGGGTGGCCCTGCATGGCATAGCTCATAGCTTCATTGTGCTGTGCAAGCCCCTTTGCCACGACAAGGCAGTGATCCATGAAAGGATCACTTATTTCTATTGTTACTGTCAGAATATTCATGACTCGGAAGGCATGGTAACAAGGTCAGCCAATGAATAGGCATAGCAACTAAGTCAGCCAATTGGGAGCTGAGGCAGACTGGAGCCAGGGCGTGTCTTAGTCTGCAGCTTCTGAGTCTGTAAAGAGAAACTGAAACCAGTGTGTGTAAACTTGTCTGCTGATCTGAGCTGAAATGAAACTATGAATCTGCTGTTGGTATTATAAACTTACTTCATGTATTATTGTGTGTATAAAGAAATTAATGAATCCTGCTGCATCAGTTTATCTGTGTGTGCTTCTGGATTTGTTTTTGCAAGAAACTCTGACAGTTATGACAGAATGCAAAATATTATATCTCTATCCATCATCTCTCAGTCTTTTTAGAATTTCAACATTTATTGATATTTTAGTGATTCTTTTATGTTTCTCTCTTGGAATCCTATATATCTTTCTAGCATTTTTGCACAGACTAATTGTTCCCTCTGTCTTACCCTTTATCTCCTTCTGCTGCATCTTTTGAAAATCCATCCATGACCCTGTCATTATTTTTTTATTAATTTATTAAATTATTTATTTATTAAATTTATATACCGTCCTACTCCCAAAGGAATCAGGGCGGTGAACAGCCAAAAGATAAAATACACATAGTACAAACATTAAAAAACCATTTTAAAATACATTAAATACTTTGGTCCAAAACAAATTTAAAACACCCCAATTTATAAAACAAATTTAAAAGCAATTAAAAGGGAGGTTAGGCCAGATCAGCCTGCTGAAATAAGAATGTTTTGAGGGCACGGCGGAAAGTGCGCAAATCCAGGATCCTCTGTATCTTCGGATTTTTGAAAGATCTTCCCGTTTTTTCTTCTCTATTCTGTTATAAGCTCTTAGGGTATTGTCTATGTGATTTTTAGTATTTATTATTGCTATCATTTCAGTATTTTTATCTGCTTTTAACTTATTTTTATCTTTTTGTATTTTATTTTCCTTTGACCCTTCCACCACTCCTTCTAATTTCTCAGCTCACTTCTGTATATTATATTCATCTTTTCCTACCATTTGTTGAGAGCCGTCTACTTTCACATCTTTATCTTTAAATATTCCCATCAACTTCTTATAATTCTTTGTCGCTATTTCTAGCATTTCTTCATAAAACTTTATTGTCTCCTGCTGGGTCATTTTATACCTCTAATATCCCAATATCTGAAAACTCCAGAAAAAATCACTTCAAATAACATTTGGTCAATCCCAAAATTATTCTTCCAAGTCCCCAGATTTTCTAATAGTTTGTGCTTTTCAGTTTTTATAGTTTCCAATTTACACCTTCCCAATTGTCCATGTTTTAAAGTCTTATTTATTTTTTCTTCTTTTGTTCCTTAAAGTCCTTCAAATCCACTTTTCAGTGTACAGTTCTAATAGAGTTTTGGTATTTAATTTAATTTGCCTTCTGAATCTTCAAAAAGCTCAGTAAATATTTCCCAGCATCCAAATCACCTACTGAGATAAAATCAAGGTCAAGTAGCTTTCCAGATGTTGTTTACTTCTCTCACCACTTTCTTTTGAATTTTAAACGTTGCAGTAATCTTCTTTCTCCAGTAGATGATTCCCCTGCTCCCAATTCCAGCATTCCACAGAATGTAAAAATCAGAAACAGCTGATTGTTATCCAATCAGGGGAGTAAGAAATAGAATATAGAAAAACAATTTCTCCTAATAGTCACTTCACAACATTGTTTCCAGGCTTTCTATGTTTTAAATCATCCTTTAGGTTTTTTCTTTTTTATTCCTTTTTAGTTTTAAGTCTTTAATCTTTCTCCATAAATCCAATTGCCACTTTTTAACATTTGGAGATCATTTTTCAGAACTTTTAACTTAGGTAACTTTCTAAGGTAACAGTTGGAAATTTTCTCACCCAGTTTCACTACTCTGTCCACACACCACTCCAGCACAAGATCTTAGTGTCCCAGTTGTCCCAACTTGTGACTGACCAAAAATGGCAATCATCCCTGCTGCCATTCAGGAGAGCTTTCTTTGGATCAGCGAGGAAATTGTGGTTTCCTCGCGATCAACAAAGTGCTTCTCCTTTCTTCACCTCCCCTCCAGGGAGACTTAACCTCGTAGGGTCTCTCAACAAGCAGTTGCCAGCTGCATTTCACGGAACCCAGCAGAGGTCTGCTATTTTCCATCTGTTCTCGCCGCAACGTCAACCGGAAGTCCCGCTGCAACAGCTTTCCCGAGTGCGATGTTAGGCCCCAATAAATACTGCATCCCAAGTGGGTGATTTACTTTGGGTGCTCAAATGGTATATTTCCAGAAAAGATTACATATATTTATCCCCTACCTGAAGAGTACTTATGAACATATTCAAAGTTCTGACACTCAGGCGGCCCCCTATGGTCACGACCACACTTTGGGCACTCAGCAACTGGGACATATTTACCATCTGCAGCATTCCGTTGGCATGTGATTGTGTTTTATGATAGTTTGCTGGAAATTGGCATTTTATCTTTGGTTTTCATCAAAATCGTGCACATAACAAATTATGGATTTGCTTAATGACAGTGGTGTTTAATGACCATCACAAAAAAGATCATAAAATTGAGTTAGTCATGACCATCATGATGCTTGATTACAATGCACCATGACAGTTGTAACCCAAGGACTACCTATATTAACAGGCTAGGAAGAATGTCAATACTTTTGGAGAAAAATTAAAACAAAGCAAACTAACTAAATGCCAAAGCATTAATTACAACCCAGTGAGGACTGAGCATGCTCAGGGACCAAAGAAGGTGCAGGTGAAAGAAACCAGGGTAGGGAGAATGGAATGAAAAACATTGAATGGTAGCATAACTGGCTGAACAGGTTCATTCTATGTTGCAAGACTATTTGTTTTGATCCTGAACAGAGTTACTACTTTATACTAATTTAATTACTAAAATGCTTTCTAGTCATATGTAGTGTTGTAGAATTATCATATCTGACTCTTAATTTCTTGATAACAATTTGGAAAATACCAGGTGTTTGGGGCCAACCTGAGTGAAACAAAGATATCTATTAATCTTTTATTATCACATCATATATAAAACCTCCTATGAAATTAAGAATAAGAACCCCAAGTTCTAGTATTAGCCACCTAACTATCCAAGACTGCCAGTCATACATTATAATTTAATCTGAATTCATTTAATAATCATATACTTCAATGTTCTGTAATGTAGGGGAAGGGCTTTAATAAGGTCCCCCTCTCTCAGCCCAGCTCACAGTTGTTGTTGTTATGTGGAAAATAGGAGAAAGAAGGTGTTCACCACCTTTTTATAAATAAAGATGAGATATAAATAAACAAATCATGACACAGAAAGGGGAAGTGTGAAAAGATGCTCACCATGGGACTTGCATGAGCAGAACTAGTTCTAGAAGATGCTCGAGATCCTGAGCCAAGATAGTAAATGTATTCTATAGGCTGTGCACATATATACAAAAGAATGCATCAAGGAGAGATGAAAGAAAAAATAATTAGAATAGCAAAGGACAGAAAGTTATAAGCAGTTCTCATAATGCAAATCAACAAGAATGAGCAACAATATATTTTCTTTAAATAATTTTGTTAGAGTTCTGTTGAATCATGATTCAGTGTTTCTATTCATTCTGCAAATTGAGTTTTTATCAGCTATGGAAACTAAGCTATGATTCCTATATGGTATGGTTCTGTCTGTATTCTTCCAAATGTTCTGACTTTTCAGAAGCATTCATTCTGGATTTAGTCCTTCTGTCAGTGCAGTAACCAAACAGCCCAGGAAATTATTATCATGAGATTACTTTTTCCCCTTTAATATAAACAAAATTATATCACATAAAATTAGAACTGCAAATCATCAGTCATGCAACAGGAATTTGACAAACTGTACTTAATACTTAAAACAATATGAATTATACTATTATGGATAAGTAAAAAGTTGAGGTTCAATGTTAATGCCTTATTCTACTGCTACAGAGGGAGACAGAAGTTAACACCTTTTTTTTTCTTTTTCCCCCTATACTTCTCTTTTCCCCTTCCCCTCCTCTTTGTGTGCTACTATTTGCTTTTGTATTTCATACTATAAATTAATAAAATAAACATAAAGAGAAAAATACTTAAAAAGATCTGAATAAGAAATCTTTTTGATCCAAATCTTGCTCATCTTTAAAAGCTTTTAATATAACTAACAAATATATTATTCATAAACCGTTGCTTAAGAACAAAGCAAATTAGACTGAATGAAACCATTTTACAATGCTGCTATTAATTGGACAGTTTTCCATAAAATGTCAAATTAAAATGAGAGAAAGTTAAACTTTTATTTTAAATTACAATAACAAACAAAAGTTAGCAATAAAATCTGCATTTCCCCGCCCCCCCTTTAATCATGAAATGGAGGGAGGGATATTTCACATTTCATCAAGAAACTTAAAAAAATCATCCAAGTATTAAATGCAATTGTGTTACTAAATGTGATGGAAAGACTATCTAGCCTTGATCTACATAAGCAATATATTAAGTAATGTTGCTTGAATCTAGATCTAATAAGTTTGAAAGAGAAAGTCAGTGTCATAAAAGAATGTCAGTGGAACAGATATATTATCTGATTTCAGATACGAATGGCCTCACTTTCCACAATGGCAAAACCCAAAAATAATGAATTCATGCAAATTATAATTTACAGTTAAATATAGGACAACTACGGCTTGAAAAAGTTCCAGAAGAAATATTACTCAATACCATTTTATTCTGATTTATGATAGTATAATCTGAACATATCCATGTTAGTTTATATATTACAATCCATAGGTAGTAATGGGAGACTTTAACTACCCTGATATCAACTGGGAGAGAAACTCTGCAGCAAGTGGGAGAACTGTCAGCATCCGCTTTTATATTGCTTGCTTACTACGGCTGCCATTGAAATGGGAGGAGGGAGAGCTGTCTGGATAGTTGGGAGGGGGGAAGTGAGTTGGTGGAGTGAATTGGAGAAAGTTTTCCTCAGCGTTTCTTTGCAGCTGGGAGGTGCGCTGATAACCACTCAAGGTCAACTGTCCTGGCATACCAGAAGAATGGAGCCATCGGAAGCTGCACCCCACATGATCCCTTGGGGGGATGTGGATTGGATAATCCTGACTGGACCATTAGGGGGAGTTTTGAGGATGCTTTCTATATATGATTTTCGCGCCTATTGCCTCAGACCTTGCTTTTCTTTGGTTGCATTCAGTTCATACTCAGTAAAAGTACCTTTCTCTATGAAAATGGAATCGGGGTTTTTCTTTCTTGAGTATTGAAAGGAGGCATACCTGACAGATTCACCCAAACTAGCTAAATCCCACCACTGATTTTCCCTCTTTAGTGGACTGACTGTTTCCTTGATTTTTTTTCTTGTTTTTTATATGTTGAAAGAAACGTTATTATCTTTGACTTTTGTTGCAGATTTTAGTTCATTCTGCTTAGTAAAAATCTTTCCTTTGGCCAGGTAGGCTAGCATGTCCTTCATGAGGGGCAGTGGGTAGATGTTTTCCACGCAAATAGCGTTCAAGTTCTTATAATCAACCACCAGGCAGTAAGGCCCATCCTTCTTCTCCCAGAATAGCACCGGGGCGGCTACACGCGGCCTAGCCGGTTGGATGAAGCCGCATTTTAGGTTTTTATCAATAAAGTCTCGTAGTTCCCCCAACTCCTGGCGGGTCATGGGGTAGATGTTTGGTTTAGGGAGCTTTACCCCAGGAAGGATTTCTATACTACAGTCTGTAGGCCAGTGAGGGGGCAGCACATCTGACGCCTTCTCACTAAACACCTCCCTGAGGTCCCGGTACTCTTTTGGGATCTTTTCCTCCCCCACAATGTGTTCCGTTGCAGTTGCCGCCCCTTCGCTTGCCACTTTGGCCACCCAATAGGGGTTCTTCCCTTTCTTCCCTTGCTGGTTAGAGCAGATGCACAACACGCCCGCCTTCCAATTTATGTGCGGGTTCCATTTTCGGAGCCAGGGCAGCCCAAGTAGGAGGGGTCATTCCATTCCAGGGGCCACAATAAAGCTCAGAGTTTCTAGGTAATCCTCCATCCTCATCTCAATCGGTTCGATTACAAAATGGGCTAGCCCCCCCCACCCCAGCTACTGACCCGTCTAGCTGACAGAATGCAATGGGCCTTTTCATCGTTTTTAGTCTTAGACCCATCTCTTCCACAATCTCAGGGCTGATGACACACTTGATGCATCCCGAATCTAGAAGGGTTAGCATCTTCCCGTGGGCCCCGGTGGATTGTACCTTTAGTTCTACTGGGATGGTCATGGGTCCCCCATTCTGACTTACCAGGAGGTCCTCGTCGGAATCGGTTTCGGTTTCGCTGTCATCGGCGAGGGTCGGAGTTCCCAACTCACCCTGTTTCAGGGGAGCGAACTGAACGACTTCTACCCCTTTTAGGGCGGTTTCGCAGGGTTTTACAGGCAGTTTGTCTGCTCTCTTCCCTCCATTTATGTATAGTATATAGAACACTGCCTTGGGGGACACCGCTATTAACAGGTGCAGGATTTGATAGGGCGCTCCCTATTTTGACCATTTGTTGTCTCTTTGACTGCAACGCAGCTATCCAATTATGTAGGTGTCCAGAGATGCCATAGGACTGTGATAGCGAACCTATGGCACGCGTGCCACAGGTGGCACGCAGAGCCATATCGGTGGGCATGCAAGCTCAGCTCCAGCGCACATGCACACGCTGGCCAGCTGATTTTTGGGCCTTCCGGTCCCACAGGAAGTTGGCAAACGGGCTGTTTCTGGCCTCCAGGTCTGGGGAGGCCTTTTTTTGCCCCCCCCAGCTCCTAGAAAGTCTCTGGAGCCTGGGGAGGGCAAAAAAACAGGGCTACCGGGTCCACTGTGCCATCACATGCCAAAAGCATGGGGGGAGGGTCATGAGGACATGCGCAGGGTGAGTGGGGCACATAGAATTATGGGTGTGGACATGCATGTATGCGACCCCCACACACTCCCCCCACTTTGGCACGCGATGGCAAAAAGGTTAGCCATCACTGCCATAGGATTTTAGTTTAAGAAGTAGTTTGTCATGTACCACTGAACAAATGCTTTACAAAAGTCTATGTAAATTTTGTCTATTGCTTTGCCCTGATCGAGATTTGTAGTTCATATGTTCTTGCAGTGTAGAAGTTGTAGATTACAGGATAATTTTTTTCTGAAACCAAATTGTTTATTAGATAGTAGCTTGTTTGTTTCTAGGTGGAGGGTAATGGAATGGTTAATGATTGATTCCATGACTTTGCAGGTGATGCAGCATAAAGAGATTGGTCTGTAATTTTCAACTGGCTGGAGTCTCCCTTTTTGAAGATAGGGATGACCATGGCTAATGACCATAGTTTGGGTAGGGAGCTGGTCCTGAAGGATTTTTCAAAGATTAGGGGTTCTGCTATAGCAGTGGACAGCTTTTTTAAGAAGTATGCATATAGTCCATCAGATCCAATAGATAGATGTTTTTAGTCTGTGTAGTGCCTTTTCAACGTTATCTTCTGTGAAATCTATTTGTGTTAGATCGTTGTAGTTATTTGTGGCATGACTAGGGAATGTTGGCCATGAGCCATTGCTGTTTACAAAGACTGAGCTGAAGAACCTGTTAAAAAGGTTGGCTTTAACGGCTTCATCATTACAGTCTTTACCATTAGGTCCTTTTAGGGGTGGGATGGATCTTGAGTCTTTAAGTTTGTTCTTTACAAAATTATAGAAGGCATGGTTGGATTTCGTGCATAGAAGGATCTCTTCCTGTTTGGTGTGGTAATGGGTGCTTTCAGTCTTTATTTGGTGGTATATATTTTTGTAGTGGCTTTTAAAGTTAGCTACATAGCCAGTTTTGGTTTTTTGCATTCATTACAAGAATTTTATTACATTCTTGTAATAGACACCAAGTATGACTCTTACAAAAATTATGTCTATTTTATCCCAAATACCAAGAAATTCTTGTACATCAGAAGTCAAGATAATGGAGACGATTAAGAAACTGTCACATACCTCCTTTTGTTGCTTCTCAAGTTCTTTCATCCTAATTTCCCGTGCTTCAGCTCGTGCTGCACGCTTTGCTGCAAGTCTTGCTTCACCCTACCAAAGGAAAAAAGTGTCACAAGATTGCAGCAATAAATAAATGAACTAGCTTGAAGGTCCAGGCTCTTATTATCCTATTGACTTTACAATTATAAACCCATATAGTATCTTTAGATGATAGCTAGTGTGATAACGGCTAAGATATCAGGCTAGAATCCTGAAGACTATGAGTTCTAGTCCCACCTTAGACAGGAAGCCATCTAGGTGATCTTGGACCAGTCACTCTTTCTCAGTTCTAGGAAGGGTAAAGCATTACTGAAAATCTTGCCAACCACTGAAGCCAATTCTGACTTGATGGCACACAAACATACACAAACAATTTTTAGACATACATTTGCAATTCCTGAATATTGCTGTGATGGAGGCTTTGTCTGAAAATGTTAATACAATAGGGAAAGAGCATTTATCCTCATTAATTCAAGAGAAGGCGAAAAAATTGGAAAATTGAAAGTATGGAAAAATCCTTGAGATCCTGGTTCAAGTCACTTTCCTCTAGATCCCTGGAACCCTAGCCCCTTTCCATGCCAGATGTTTACTCGGGTATTCAAGAAATATCTCATTAAGATAGTAGGGTAGTTTTTTGTTTTTTTTAGATAAACCACCACCACCTACCTTGGGATGAGAAAGCAGTTCTCCCTATTTACAGTATAATAGGAAACTCTTTTACTAATAGTTTGTTTACTAATTGTTTACTAATTGTTGTTGAATGTGGAGAAACTTGATACTGAGTGGCTAATTAAAGAGGCTAATTCTCAGTAAGCAGTTTTGAAAACTTTTATAAAATAGGACCTTATTAGGACACTGACATAAAAAAGCCATGAGAAAAACAATAAAAGATAATGACAGCTTACTCCCTCTAACTATAGCACTAAATTTATTTCATTTTTTATTTCATTTATTGATTTTTATCCCAAGTTTATCATTTTTATAAATCATTCAAGGTTAAAAACATATCTAATGGTCCTTCTTCAACCTATTTTCCCACAACAATTCAGTGAGGTAAGCGGGCTTCAAGTCTAGTTGCCTCTTGAAGAAGCACCTTTGGGATAAGCTGGTGAAGAGAGAATAACTGATTGAAAGTCACCGAGCTAGCTTACATGCCTAAAGTGGGACTAGAACTTACAGTGTCCCTGATTTCTAGCCTGGTGTTTTCTTCACATTTCAATCTATTCTCGTTTTTCCTTCAATAACACCCATTAATCTGTTTTTCACAGCCAATAATGCAATCTCTTAACTCCCAATTTTATACTAGATTCTTCTCTTCTCCCTTTCTGTTGAAGGAACAAAAAAAACAAATCTTAATTCTTTAAGGACAAACACCATAATATGCAATACTAATTTTAGCACCTTTTACTATGAAATTTAAATGAAGTTTTGATTCCATTGAAATTTACAGTATTAAGGAATACAGAAGGACTGGGTAGTTAGTCAAGGAGTAACCAGAATGAATATTACCTAGATGCTGCTTTTTCCAAGAATAATTTAATATTAATTGACAATAACCTATAGTTTCTCTTCATATTCTCCATTCACCATACTTAAAAATCGAAGCATTGTATTGTTATTGGAACATGGCTGACTTTAGCTGACTGATAAAGTAGCCATTAAAAGAAGTAGAAAAAGCGGGACATTGAATTTTTCAAATTATATAGAAAATTCCAATGTTGGAGGAGTTGAAATGTTGTTGTCAAATCTTTCTTTGCATTTATTTCTGTCTATGTAAGGAAATAACAAAATATCCAGATATCCAAGCATCCGGGAAGGGGCGTTGGTCCTACCTGAGATGCACCTTCTTGTTGGGTGGAGATAGCAGCCAGTCTGGGTAGTACCCGCCCAATCAGCTTGATGGACTGAGTCTGTCAATATTGCTAAGTCCCGCCCTTGTTGCCAGGCAGACCAGCTTTTGGCGAAGACCAGGAAGGAACAGACTCGGTGTGTGGGAGAATTAAAGGAGGAGGCAGGTAAGTGCAGAAAGGAGAAAAAGGAGAGACCAGACTGGAACGGGGAGGGTCTGGTTGATTTCTCCACTCAACAAGAAGGTGCGTCTGAGGTAGGACCAACGCCCCTTCTCCGTTGTGGGTGGAGACAGCAGCCAGTATGGGACATACCCAAGTTCACTGTCCCGGGTCCGGGGGGGGACCAGGCTGGTCCGAAGCACTTTCCCCTGAAACCACCCGCTGCAACACTCGTCCAAATGCAGCCTCTGCCGACGCAAACTTGTCCAGTTTATAATGTTGAATGAAGGGGACCGGTGAAGTCCACATAGCTGCCCTGCAGATCTCAAGCAACGGAGCCTGAGTGGCCCAGGCCACCGACGTAGCCACATTGTGGGTGGAGTGTGCTGTCAAATGGGAAGGTCTCGGCAGGGAACGAAGATCGTAGGTTGAGGCGATAGTCTGCCAAATCCAGCGACCGATGGCTGACAATGACACCTTGCAACCCAGAGAACAGGGCAAGAAGGAGACAAACAATGACTCCGATCTGCGGATAGTAGCTGTCCTCTTCAGGTAGATTCGCAACACCCGCCTGACGTCTAAGGTATGCCAACAACGTTCCTGAGGATGAGAAGGACGAGGGCAAAAGTCCGGAAGAACCAGCTCCTGCGTTCGATGGAAAGTAGTGTTGACCTTCGGAATGAAGGTAGGATCCAGGCGGAGAACCATGCGATCTGCATGGAATACACAAAGATCGTCATGAGCGGACAGAGCCGCAGTCTCGGATATACGGTGAGCCAAGGTGATGGTTACCAGGAAGGTGACTTTGCACGACAGGAGCCTGAGGCTAGCTGAGTGCAAAGGCTCGTACGGAGGACCTATAAGCGAGTCCAAGACCAACGGAAGATCCCAAGTAGGATATCTATGCAGAACTGGCGGACTGAGGTTCATGGCGCCTCGGAGAAAGCGGCGAATCAGAGGATGCTGCGCCAGTGACGACAAGGCCCCACAGGTAAGTACAGACAAGATCGCCGCCACCTGTCGACGTAAGGTATTAGGAGAGAGTCCATCAGAGAGACCTTGTTGAAGGAAAACGAGTGTCGAGCCCCAGCTGGGACTCGCCATCACTGGCGGCCTGGGGGACAATTGGAGCATCAATAACGCCCACCTGAATGCCTAGGAAGGTGGGGACTGCTCCACGCAGCAGCCAGCCAGATTCAGCATCGAGCGACACTCAGCCTTGACGAGATCGGTGCAGCTTCCCGAATCTGAGTTGCCGGCACTGTCCTATGGCGCTACGGCAGCGCCGATACCATTGACGGGCGGGATTGTAAACTCGCTGAACAGCTGATGTGGGGAGTTGGGATTTGAGTGCCATGATCCGGCTTGTTCTGTTCTTCTTGCTGTGCTGCTGCTAAACCTTGATTAAACTATTGCCACTTGACATCGTTTCCTGGTTCTTTTTGACGGCCACGGACAGAGCCGAGAGAAAGTCAGCACTGCTCCACGCCTGTTATTGTTTCTGTTGATCTGGTGGTCCCGTCTGCTAAAGGTTTGAGGATGGCAGAGGGAACAGTGCCAGGAGGGATTGAGATGAAGCTGTTGGCTGAAGCAGCAGGGGGGGAGATGCTTGTAGAGGAGGAGGTCCAGGAGGAGACCGCTGAGCAACCAGTGGTGAGACCAAAGATACAACAGACCCGGGATGAGGGCTGTCAGGAGGAGGAGGGTCTCCAAGTGCAGCCACAGGGGAATGGTGGCACAGCTCTGCTCTTACCGGACCAAAGCTGCCAACTACCCCTCGTTAGGTCCGACCTACAAGGATTGGAGAGAGAGACGTTGGACAGATGATGAAGAGGGGGATTGGAGTTATGCTACAGGCCTTGGCCCTAGTACCATGGACACTCTTCGAGAACGATTCAGGGAAGCCAGCTTCCATGATGCCCCCTCATGGCAGCCGTGGGTCACTGGTTTGGAACCTTTGCAAGCTCCGTCATGGCAGGACACCGGGGTGTCTAGTTCGGAGGTTTCTTTCTGCCTTACCAGCCCAAAACTACGGAAAGAGCAAGCACAAACCCGGGTGAAAGACCATACACTGTCCTGGGACCAGGGGTCTTCCCTGGGAGAGGGGGTCGTACGGAGTTCGGAGCACCAACCTCAGCGGCAGGAGAGGGCCCTGTGAGGCAAATCCAACGACCATCGGCGGATCGACCACGTGTAGAGAGGAGGGGTGTTGGTGTGAGTAGAACACCTGATCTGCCGCAAGTGTGGGCTCTGGCTCCAGGAATGTGGGTCCCTCCAACTGCTTGGGGCCCTCCTACATTGCAAGCCACGTTTGATGGGAGCCCAGATCGAGTGGCTTTATTTCTAAGCCAAGTGATAAGTCATTTGGACCAGTATGGACGTTGGTACCCTTCCCAGTGGGCCATGGTTGTGGCCATAACGGCAGTCCTGACAGGAGACGCAGTCGATTGGATGGCCAGCTTGCACAGTAACCATGCTAGGGAGTTAATCGATGTAGGAAAGTTTTTGGAGGCTCTTTGGTCCACCTTTGAGTCCAGCGTGCAAGTAGCAGAGGGTGACCTGGTTGCACTTAAGCAGAGGGGCGCTCCTGCTAAGGACTATGTACATGACTTCTGGAAGATAGCGAGTCGCCTGGTGGGGTGGCCGGAATGAATGTTGGTCCAACAGTTTCAAACGGGGTTGGACCAAGATCTGCGACAGGCCTGTGTGTATAGGGGCCTGGCTCCACGTTTGGCGGTGTGGTTCAAGGCCGCAATAGAGCTGGATGTGGGACTCAGAGAGTTCCGGGTGCGACCTGAGGGGAGCTCAGATCAGAGGAAAAGCCTAACGGAAAAACCAACAGAAAAACCCCAAGGCTTGAGAGAATCCAGACCATGTGTAAACCCGGAACCAATGGAGAGATCCCGATGACCAATGTTCCACTGTTTTAGATGTAATCAGGCTGGTCACAGAGCGGCTGAATGCCCCATGCCATCACCACGAGTACAGCCCCAAAGGTCGACCACCAGAGTGTCAACAAGAGGACGGGCACGGCAGCCACCC